AGCCGATGATGGGCTGTATAGAGCCGTAGACACGTACATTAAGGTGAGTTTTTAAGGCCCATTTCACATGCAAACCTGGCGACAAGTTGTAGCTAGCGCAGGTTTTGCTTTTATTAATTGGTAACGCAACCCAGTTAGTAAACTCTAGCAAGTACCGAGTAGTATGCAAATATAGTCAATGAGTTTCGCCTCATATTAAAATAACTTCGTGGGTATAATGACCGTAAACCATACCAAAATTGATGGTAGTAACTACAAGCATATAGGAGAGGAAGAGGCCAATTTTTGTAGTTCCTGTATTGCCCACCGCGCGAGTCAATCACGAGTTAAAATTTCGATACATACGATTCCACAAAGAAACGATCATATCTTCTAGCCCAAAAGACGGATTCTGACATATTATATATATAAATCGACTATTTTCAGTAATAAAGTTAGAGTCAATTTAGATTAGAAAATAAAATCAATTTCCATTCAATTTGGACTGATTTGTTCTCTTTACAATAGAGTCTTTTAGGTAGTATTAGATTATATATTTCTTTCTTTTAGAAATTTTGTTCTTATCAGGAATAGGCTTTGTTTTTCTATTTAAGAAAAATGATTGTAAATCTCATGGGATAAGATAACTTTTCCTCAATAAAATTTCATGTTCATTATATTTTCCTCGTGGACTCCAAGTTCTTTGTGGATTCGGAGATCATTCTTTATGGATTCAGAGAGCATTTCTTAGTGAATCCCGATGTTTATCACTTTCACGCTACGTCATTTAGTATCAAAGCACTGTTTTTTCGATCCGATAGCAGGCGATCAAGCCCGTGTTACCCGAATTGAGTTCAACGATTTGAATTGCGAGAGTTACTCAGACGAAGACTTCCATAAACCGACTTACATTGGCGGTGGACCATCTGAATGTAGGACGAGTTCGAGATTGCATTTATGATTGCAAAAGACGAGATTCGACTCTACAAGACAAATTCTATAGTAATGATTGTAGAGGCTACAGAAGAAAGGAGAACTATATATGATGCTAGAGGATTAAAGGTACCATCCTTCAATGGAAAGCTTCATGCTGATGATTTCCTTGAATGGATTAATAAAGTGGATAGATAATTTGAGTATGAGATAATTCCAGAAGATTGAAAAGTTAAATTAGTAGTTTATAGACTTAAAGGAAAAATATTTGCATGGTGGGATGAAGTACTGATAAATCGATATCATCAAGGGAAGGATCTAGTTTGAACATGGACAAAGATGAAGAAGTTATTGAGAGACTATTTCCTACCTTCCAACTACAAACAATATCGTGTGTCTTTGAAAGATTCTTTTACTTTAGCCGACACAGTCCATCTAGCAAAAAAGGTGGACCGACAAAGGACCTTCGTCATAGATGTTCTTGAAGAGTTCTCACACTAATTATGATTGCGACAAAACTAAAAAACTTCAATTTATCTCTAAGAAAGAGTCTAGATTTGTGAACAACATCGAAGAGGCAACAAAGAAGACTTTATCAATTATGTTGATCGCAGAATTAGAGGCATCTAAGACAGCGATTGCTAAGGAGAATGTATTTCTAGTGGCAAACAATGAGACACCCACAACCAAAAAAGAAGATTTTGCTACCATCAAGATTTATCCTGTAGTGCAACCCTTGTTGTGCATGAAATTCATCATGTTGATGGTGATATGTTAATGAAGACGGATATTATGCATGATATTCTCAAAGATGTTGTGAGTGATGTTACACGTATTGATATTGTCCCGATAGAGGAGAATGATGTAATAGCGAGTGAGTCAATTGATGATATCTATGACTTGTTTGGTGGAGGGCTCGAGGCAAAAGAGATGAAAGAATTGTGTATGGAGTATGAGGAAAATTTTTCTTTAGAAGCAAAGGTTGCGAATAATTTCAAGAAGGTTGAGATGATACTCCCGACACTAGATTATGAGAAGCAACAAGGAATATATTTGGATGAATTTTTCAAATCATCTATAGATCCACATGCCGCCAAACACATGCACATGGTTCATGATATATTCATTCAAAAGTTTGATTCAGAAGAAGTCCTAACCGAGGATGTAAAAATAACAAATTGAGAAAATCAATGCTTAATACAAGGCGGATGTTGATTAATACAGGAGAAGAAAAATATTTATCGATGAAGCTACTATTCAAGCAAATATAAGCTCAAGGTCAAGCTTCTATCAATAAGGGAGACTAATGTTGAACGTTTAACAGACAATTTCATAAAGGAGTAGGTCAATCACGAGCTACATGCAAATACATATGTATTATTGACTTTTGCATGTAAATCGCCTATCTCGATGAGATAAAGCCAATTGTATTGTCAAATTTTCAAAATCTCATTAGCAATACTTAGTTTTGGATGAAATCCGAAAATAATCAGCTTTGAGTTTATATTTAGTAATGAAGTTAGAGTCAATTTATATTAGGAAACAAAATCAATTTTGATTCAATTTGAACTAATTTGTTTTCTTCATTATAGAGAGTCATTTAGCTAGTTTTACATTATTTTTTTAGAAATTCTATTTTTATCAAGAGTATGATTTGTTTTCTATTTAAGAAGAAGAACTATAAACCTCATGAGATAATACGATATTTCATTAATAAAACTTCCTCTTCATTATATTTTCCTCGTGGATTCGAAGTTTTTCGTGGACTTGGAGATTGTTCTTTATGCATGCAACGAGCACCCCTTTGTTGATTCTGAAGTTGATTACTTCCCTGCTGCATTACCCACGGAACTCATTGGTATAACAAATCGATTTAGGTATAGCCTTTTTAATGTGAAAATGAAATCGCTTGAAGATTAAACTATTAAGTTAATGTGTTCATCTTACACTTGGCACATAGAAAATGAACCTCTGTCTCTCTGTCGTCCCCTCTGAGTTTCACAAATTGGTGATTTTGTCATTTATTTCTTGAGAACATCAATTACTGGCATGTAGTACGTTTAGAGAAGACAATTGCTGTTCGTGCCATCTTCTCCTACTTGTCACTTGTTTGCTTCCCACAAAACATCAAGGCTTTGTACTATTATTCTATTTCTATTTCCTAAGCTTTTCTATTTTGATTCACTTCTCATAATTGACCTCTCATGCACCGACCCCAACAAAATTTCGTACTACACGTCATAATATCAAAGTATTCCTTATCATTTCAACTGTTCATCCGTGATTTGTTTTCGTTTAACAAAGATACATAGTTATAGTATATATATTGTGGCTACTTGAAAGAACAACGTACAACCATTTACATCAAAGCTATCATGTTTTCCATATGCTTAGTTTGTAAAAAAGTTGCTAACAATAATTGGACAAATTTTCAAAACAGACCTCTTTGGGTTTTTAATTGCAAAAAACGACCCATTTCAATCTTATTTATAAAAACCGACCCAGTTAGTTGAAACTGGGTCGGTTTTTGAATTTTTTTTTCCCAAACTTCACGGGAGTTCAACTCCCGTGAAGTTTCCCAAAAAAATTTAAAAAAACCGATCTGTTTTCAGCCCCTGGTTGAAAACAGGTCGGTTTTTGTAAATATTTTCAAAACCGGTCGTTTTTTGCAATTAAAGACCCAAAGAGGTCGATTTTGAAAATTTGTCCAACAATAATTTCAAATTATAAATTGTTCCGTTAAACAGCAGCCAACACATTTGCCCCACGTGTAATATATGTCATAACGAGCTCATAATATCTCTCCTACGTATCAAATTTACTGGGCTGAGCCCATTAAAGCTAACAAAAACCTGCTCTCTCTTTCTCAGGCCCATCCAAATATAACCAAGCAAGAAAAATGGACGCTAAGCAAACTAATCGATCCACGAAAGCTCACCCCGGACGCCACCCTCCACGCCGTCCACAGCGACCGCCTCCCAGTCCGTTCCGTTATCCAAATCCTCTTTTCAGAACAAACCAGACTGGGCCGAGCAAACGAGTGGACCGGAAACTCGTTCCACGGTACGAAAAGCCTGAGCCCAAGCCCAGCGCTGGACGCCCCGGGCCGATGCCCATCAAAAAGAGAGGTGTTGGGCCAACAACGCGAAATGCGCAAATTACAGGAGGATGTGGGCCGGCTTCAGATGCAGTGTCAGGCCTTACAGGCCCAGGTAGAGAAACTGAGCTCAGAGAAGAAGAAGAGGGGAATGTTCCGGTGGGGTAACTTTCTGTTTAGGAACGGAGAGGCTGCGGAGAGGTCGGTCGATGATTATGAGGCGGCGACTGAGAGGAGGACGCCGAGGACGCCGATGGAGGGGAGGAAGGGGAGAATGGTGCACGGGAGGGGGACACCTCCCAAGTGGAGAAACTCTCTGTCCTGAAAGTATATTTATGAGGATTGTTACGTAGTATTTGTGCATGCTTGATAAACGTATAAAATGTCACCTTGGTATAAGTTTTATGTATCTGGGTTTCGATGTTCTTGTGAGTTCCGTGTTTACTATTTGTTTTTTTTTTCCCGCCCCAGATGAATTCAATAACATCGTATTTTCTGTAGAGAATTTGGCAGATAGATAAGATAATTATAGGCTCAATAGTGCGGAGAACTAAAGCTAGTTAATGAATCTAAACAAAATAAGGGATTGGCCGCAAATTTTATGGGATTTCTCTCTCTCGAAAATTTTGTTTCTATTGGAATTATCCCTTCCCCCAAAGTTTTCTATTTGCGAATTTATCCCTCAAATTAACCCCAGTTCTAGCAATTGGATTAACAAATTTAATGACTTCAAAAGTGGAATGAGAAAGAATATTTGCTATTTGGAACAAACATAGATTAGCGAGATATATTTGCAAGTATGTACTTACGTATACTGGAGCTCTATACTCCATCCTTTTGTCCAAAAAATTTAGCAATCAATAACCACGAGAAATTCTTCAAGAAACACAACTACAAATACCTGAACAGAGACTGCAATCACCAAAAATCCTTACATGAACAAGCACCATATCTAAAGTGATGAATCATGAATCTATCTCTTACAGCAATCTTCCTTCCGTAAATCTCTGCAATCATCTTAATGGCGTCATGGCAATCACCATGAATCCTAAGGTTCTTTCCCTTAGCTCGTGCTCATAAGCCCGAAAGCAATGGCTACAATCTCACTACAACAATGCAAACCATCCTCCTCCTCCTCGTCCATATTGAACAACGCCTTCAATTTCTTCGAATCATAACCCCCAGCATTCAATCGAGATATCATGTCTTCGATCATCACAGATACATTAAACATTCTCTTGTCCGAACTATCCCCATCAACAAACTCATGAATCTCTCCTTTAACCTCTATCATACTACACCCCACAGGCTTCTTGATGTTCTATCATACATGCCAGAGATGAAAGTACTATTGACATTATACATTTTGATGTATGTGGTCCTTTAAATGTTAAAGCAAGAGGCGGATATTTATATTTTATAACATTCATGGATGATGCATCTCGATATGGTTATATTTATTTAATGCATCATAAATCAGAATGTTTTGAAAAGTTCAAAGAATATAAACCCGAAGTTGAAAAGAAACTTGATAGAAGTATCAATGCCATCAGATCTGATCGAGGTGGTGAGTATCTATTTGAAGAGTTTAAGAAATTTATGAAAGAAAATAGAATTGTTAGTAATTTGACACCTCCCGGAACACCACAACATAACGGTGTGTCTGAAAGACAGAATCGAACCCTATTAGGTATGGTTAGATCTATGCTTAGTCATTCTCAGGCTCCTACTTTCTTATTGGGTTATGCACTGGGGGCTGCAAACTATTTGTTAAATAGAATTCCTACCAAGTTAATTTCATCCACTCCATATGAGATATGGATTGGAAAGATACCAAGTAGTAGACACTTAAAGGTTTGGTGTTGTCATGTTCATGTAAGAAAATAAATAATGGACAAATTAGAGTCTAGAACAAATAGAGGCCTATTTGTAGGCTATCCTAAAGTAAGTACTAGGTATTATATTTGTAATAATCAATATTTTTTTTAATGAGAGGTCTTATTATAGGAAGCCCAGGTGATATGGAATTTAAAAAAAAAAACAACACAAATTTCTTAAGGTCCATTAGTGACCTAGCAAGCCTATGAGTATAAAATCTCAACTCACCCTTGATTTCCTCTCATGATTGATACCCTGAGAGTTGGCTTCGGATTCATCCCCCAACAAATTCGTGAATATATAACCCACATCCAAAATCGTGAGATCCCTACAGTTTTTTTATTACAACTACCCTTTACCACTAATTAAACTTCTTTAACCTTAGGGATTCTCCACTCAATCATTTTCTTTATAAATCTATCTCCTCTCCTCCCCCATTTCTGTCCCAAACTGCAGGAAAAAAAACAGAGAAGAAAGAGAACTCGAACCGAAGTCGAGGAAAGGTGGAGAAGGAGCTTGCATGGTGTTTCCGCTTTCGGTATCAATCGGCAAGCATATTCTATCTTGCTCATTATTATTATTCCAGTAAGCATTTCTATCCTTTTAGTATTTAATAATCAGCTTATTAAATTATTAATAATTTCTTTATAGTGATCATAATGAATAGTTGCTAGATAGCTTCTAACATTTTTTATCTTAACATGGAAGGGACAGTCTGAGATCCTTTATGCAATATTTTGAAGATATCATCTTTATCTTTCTAATTATCTTTTATTTATTTCATTAGAATAAATATCCATAGTATGACTAGAATAACTTGTGTTTTGTGTATTTGATCTGTCTAGTTTATATGTATAGTGTTTGATAATTTTAGTTTAGAAAATATAACATTTGTGATCTTGGGCTTGGTAGATTAATTGGAGATTTTTTCAAAATGCGGAAAATGAGGGTAAGCTTAATATAACTATGGACATAAAATTCATCCTTTTTATAAATATATGCTTCATAGCTTCCAGTTATGCAAAAGTATTCTAGATGACTTAGACACCTTTATATGAACATTGTGGAAGTTAAGTTTGTTAGGATACACACCAATAATAATACCTCGGACGGAGACGTAATACACAAAATAAAGGCACAATATTCAACACAGTACTCACAGATATACGTGGAATACACAAAATAAAGGCACAATATTCAACACAGTACTCACAGATATACGTGGTTCACTCCTTCGGAGCTACTCCACGGTGCAACAGCACAATATTCAACACAGTACTCACAGATATACGTGGTTCACTCCTTCGGAGCTACTCCACGGTGCAACAATGACGCCAAATTCTTTTATATCCCAAAAGAATAGATCAAATAGAACACCCTCTCTTGATCAGATACACTCCAAGAACTCTCACAAACTCTCTCTGTGTTTTCTTTCTTACTCTTTTATAAGAGGAGTTGTTTCTGAGATGAGATTTCCTTAAGAGTTTAGGGTCCTATTTATAGTGTTTGAGAAAACACTATGCATAAATATAATATTATCAGTGGGACCCGTCACTAATAATAAAATATTTATGGGACCCGGTAGGATCTGCCACCTTTTTCATTATTCAAAGAAAACGGCACCGAAATCTCATTTTTCTTTGTGGGACCCATCTTTGTGGGCCCCACACTTTGTTTTGTTAGGCTAACAATCTCCCACTTGAAGATTTGATTGAGTATCAATCATATCTTCACACCCTTCTTGGTTGCATCATCTGGATGTCTTGTATCTTTGACGTCTTACACGACCTTCAACATTCTCAACGGAGGCCATATGAGGCTGCACACAGCCTCACCTTCTCGAGCGGAACTAGCTTGGTCAGCATATCGGCTGGATTGTACCTCGTATCAATCTTCACAAGCTTGAACTCGTTCTTGCTTTGCCATCTCCGTATGGCATGGTGCTTCACGTCAATATGCTTGGTCCGAGCATGGAATGCGTCGTTATCTGACAAGTGAATGGCACTCTGACTGTCGCAGTGGATGAAGTATTTCTCAAAGCTTACTCCAAGCTTGAGAAGAAAAGCCTTCAACCATATCAACTCCTTTGCTGCCTCTGCTGCAGACACGTACTCGGCTTCGGTTGTCGACAAAGCCACAGTATCGTGTAACTTGGATCTCCAACTTATCGCTCCACCACCCAAGATGAAGATGTAGCCGCTCGTACTCCTTCTCGAGTCTATGTCCCCGACACAGTCTGCATCACAAAAGCCCTCTAGCTGCAAATCTATCTCGCCATACTCAAGACAACGGTCAGACAAGCTTCTCAAGTAGCGTAGAAGCCACTTGACCGCACCCCAGTGTTGCTTCTCCGGATTGCTCATGAAGCGGCTCACAACTACCACTCCGTGTGCAATATTTGGCATCGTGCACACCATCGCATACATCAAACTCCCGACGGCAGATGCGTATGGTATGTTGGCCATGAACTCATGCTCTTCAGCAGTCTCTGGTGCTTGCATCTTTGATAGCTTGAAATGGTTTGCAAACGGCGAGCCTACCACTTTAGCTTTCTTCATGCCAAACTTTTCAAGAATTTTCTCAATATAGGTCTTCTGAGACAACTTCAGCCTCCGTGCTGATCTGTCTCTGATGATCCTTATCCTAAGAATCTGATTTGCTGGACCCAAATCTTTTATCTCGAAGCACTCGGAGAGACGCCCCTTTAGTTCTGCAATGCGGGCCAAGTCGGGCCCTACAATCAACATGTCATCAACATAAATCAAGAGTATCACATAGGATTCGTCATATCTCTTGATGAAGCAGCAGTGGTCTGTGTCTCATTTGAGAAAACCGTTCTCCTCCATAAAGCTCTCAAACTTTATGTACCACTGTCGCGGAGCTTGCTTCAGACCATACAAGCTCTTGCGTAGGCGACACACGAGGCCCTCCCTACCTCGTTCCTCGAAGCCCACCGGTTGATGCATATAGATCTCTTCCTCCAAATCTCCATGAAGGATAGATGGAGATCTCGAACTGCCATAATGCTCAGCACAGTCCAGATCGTGGTCAACTTGACGACGGGAGCAAAAACGTCAGAATAGTCTATCCCTGCTTTCTGCTCATAGCCCTTTACTACAAACCTCGCTTTGTAGCGTCTCCGTCCATCGGCTTCATCCTTGACCCGATAGATCCACCGATTGTGAAGAGCCTTTCTCCTTCTTGGAAGCTTTACGAGCTCCCAAGTCATATTCTTCATCAAGGATTTCATTTCTTCCTCTATGGCAGACTCCCACTTGCCCTGAGCTTTGTCGGTCTGCTGTACCTCCTCATGGCTTCCTGGCTCACCATTGTTAGTCAGGAGAAGATAATTCATGGTGGAAAGGTACCTCTCTGGCACCATTGCATTTCTTGGAGCTTTGCGAATTACGATCGACAACTCTGTTGGATCCTGCTGATGTGCATCCCTCACGTTCTCTTGGTCTCTGTCTTCTATGCTGATTAGTATCTCACCGATGTCCTCACTGTCAGCAATATCTGGAAAAAAAGGGGGATCTAGCTGACTCCCACTCACATCTTTGGTCTTGTACACCGCATTCTCATGGAACACGACGTCACGACTACGCACCACCTTGCGCGCATTATGATCCCATAAACGGTACCCATACTCATCTCCTCCATAGCCGATGAAAGAGAGCTTCTTTGACTTTGGATCAAGTTTTGACCGGTCTGCATGATTGGTCATGACATAGGCGTCACAGCCAAATACTCGTAAGTGTTCTAGCTTCAGCTTCTTTGCGGTCCAAGCCTCTTTAGGTATTCCATAACTGAGAGCCGCGGATGGCCCGCGGTTGATCAAGTATACAACAGTATTGACAGCTTCAACCCAAAAGCTCTTGGGCAATCCGGAATGGATCCTCATGCTTCTGGCGCGCTCCAAGATAGTACGATTCATGCGCTCCGTCACTCCGTTGTGCTGAGGTGTGCCTGGGACGGTCTTCAGTCTCCGAATCCCACGGGACGAGCAGAAGTTCTCGAACTCCTGGCTGCAATACTCGCCTCCATTATCGGATTTTAGGCACTTCAGTTTATTGCCTGTTTCATTCTCCACACAGGCAAGCCACTTCTTGAAGATATAAAAACATCTGACTTGTGCTTCAAGAAGAACACTCATAGTTTTCTCGTAGCATCATCAATAAAAGTGACAAAGTAAAGAGAGTTTCCAACAGATGAGACTTGTGTAGGTCCCCACACGTCGGTGTGCACCAATTCTAATTTCTGCAGTTTTGGAGCCGATCCGGTCTTGTTGAAGCTCACCTTCTTTTATTTGTCCAGGATGCAATCCTCACAAAAAGTCAGATCGATCTTGTTCAGACCCGAAAGCTTCTCTCCCGCAGCCATAATCTACATCCCCTTCTCGCTCATGTGGCCAAGTCGTCGATGCCAAGTCATGCAGTCGACGGATGATGATGATGATGCTTGTCCTGTGACAAGCAAGTGGTCAATCTTCCCATTGGCGATGTAGAGAGGCCCCTCGGGTTTGTCATGTGCCACCACCAGGACACCCTTGGACACCTTCTAGGTTCCCTGCTCGAAGGATACTCTGTAACCAGAGTCAGTCAGTTACCCGACTGATATAAGATTTCGCCTGAGATCTGGTACGTGCCGAATATCGTCCAGCGTCAAGGTGGTCCCGCCCTCCATCTTAAGGGTAGAATTTCCCTTCTCGGAAACCTTACAAGGTTGATCATCGCTAAGATAGACTGTCCCCAAGTCCTTCTTCACGAACGATGAAAGCAGTTTTTGTTATGAGGTTGCATGGAAAGATGCGCCAGAGTTGATGACCCACGCATCGCTTTTGTCTTCTAGGGATAGGAGAAGCACATCTGAATCCGTCTCGTGCATGAGATTGGCTGCACCGTCAGCCCGATCATCCCCTGCTGATGTTGGAACATGAACTCTACAGTCCCGAGCAAAGTGACCATTATTTCCACACCTGAAGCACTTTCCTTCACCGTAACCATTCGGGTTCGGCCCTTTAGACTTCCCTCTGGATTTTGATTGCCTCGTCGTCCCCTACCCTTCTTCTGCACACGCCCTCGTGCCTCGACATGCAGAGCACTCCCACTGCTAGAGGTGTCAGCTCCTAGGACTTTACGACAAGATTCTTCATCCAGAATTGCCTCAATCACCATGTCGAGCTTCATCTTGTCATTGCCATTGGCATTGCTCACCGCCATCACCATATTCTCCCATGAATCTGGTAGACAAGAAAGTAGCAGAAGAGCTTGGATCTCGTTGTCGAACTTTAGATCCACTGTAGCAAGCTGTTGCACAACAGCCTGAAATTCGTTCAAGAAGTCCGCCACGCGAGCTCCTTGCTGCATCTTCAGATTGAATAGCTTCTTCATCAGGTACACCTTATTTGAAGCAAACGGCTTCTCATACAGTGCCTCCAGGACCTCCATCAACTCCTTGGTGGTGGTCGCATACGAGACGTTGTAAGTCACGTGCTGGTGAAGGTTGAGCCTAATAGTGGTAAGTGCTTTACGATCGAGCACCTTCCACTTATCGTCGTCCATCTTCTCAGGTTTCCCCGCCTCTCCTTAGAGGGGTAGGAAGAGATCCTTCTGGTACAAATAGTCTTCTATTTGCATCCTCCAATACCTGAAATTTTGACCATCAAATTTCTCAATTCGAAGCCTGTTATCTTCAACTGTAGATCCCATTGCGAAAGATTTCGTCTTTCACAAAGCGTATTTGTGAATAGTACCATATTCGTGAATGGTATTGTACACATGAATACTACCATACACGTGAATAGTACCCAATGCCTTAAAAGAGTAAACAATAATCTAACTTATTTTCTGATGTGGAGGATCCACTTTTAGTGGTAGCCACAGAGCATACGATAAACAGATATATATACTCTAAGTTAAGCCAAACTAAGGTTGATTTATTTGTTTCTGATATCAAAGAAGTTTTGAGATGAATTAGTTGCATAAGATTGTTTGGTTTATTGAGCCTTGAAAGAGAAGTAAAATCTTATTAGCGATATTTCCCTTTATTGTACCGTCCTTGCTAGGAAGACTTGGTAATCCTACACTCATTGGCTTTCCGTGGTTATGAATTAAGTAGAAGAGAGGTGTCAAGTGAACACTGATGCTATCTAAAAATCTCCATGATAACAAGGCCACACGTCAAGTTTAGCAGTTAATTGGAAGATTGTGCTTATATAAGATAATATTCCACGAATTGATCAACTGACTAAAGTCCTTGCAGAAAGATAAGCCTATGTTTGTTGACGTAGGACACATGAATAAGTTTAGCGATCATACTATATTTCTTATGTAAGTTAGAGGTTGCAAGAGTACAAAGGATGGTTGCCTACAATCTGAAAAGCTCGACGATTACAAGTCTACATGTTAAGTTTAGCAATTAATTTGAGGAGTGTGTTTATGGAATATATTAGGTGATGAACTGACTAACTTGAAGAAAGACAAGCATATATCAGTTGACTGGGGGTATATGGATATTAGTGGCCATTTTCTTATCTAATCTACACAAAAGTTTATTACCTCCTCCTCAAAGAGATAAGTCACTACATTGAAGGGGTAGGTAAATCATCGCTCATATATGCTGAATGGTATTAATAATGGAGATCACTTGAAATGTCATGATTAGACTAAAACCCGGTTTATTCATATAATACTTATCTTATTTGATAATGTGTTTGGCATGCTTGACTTTATAGAAATTTGTTGTTCGATCACCTAGTTATCATCCAATAGGAGAGACTATACATGAAGACGACTCCTGTTAAAAATGTGATTTATAAGCATGCTTTCCTAGACGATGCACCCCTCTTGATTGGACATGTTCTGGGTCACGATTATCTTTCATAGTTTTACGGAAGTCGTTCCACGATAACTCTGTGGTTAGTGCAAAACATTTCATGCACAGTCGTTTAAATTAAACCGACAAATATGGGGTTTATAAAGGGGAATTGGACGAAGAATATAACATGTATATAAACGGGCACATGCGCATTCCTGATATCCTGAGTTATATATACATGGGCTAAAGGACCAATACTTAACTTGAAGCCGTGTTCCCGGGACGATTTATGAGGAACCGATTTATATACATGAAAATATTCTTCTCTAACTCAAATAACATATAAAATAAGAATAATGTGCTTATATGCTTTGTGATAGATTTGGCATGCACGACATGTCCTGGATGAGGTTTCGGTGATGTATATTTGTATTGTTTGTTTATTGAATTTTGGGAGTTGATATTTAGTGATTTATAATTTGAGATATATGGTATATACGAGGGTTTCCTTGTTTGGATTATTCCCTCGACGTACTCATGAGATATATGGTATATACGAGGGTTTCCTTGTTTGGATTATTCCCTCGACGTACTCATTTCGTGTTGTGAGTTTCTAAATCTTAACTCCTTTTAGTCCTTGTTTGGATTATTCCCTCGACGTACTCATTTCGTGTTGTGAGTTTCTAAATCTTAACTCCTTTTAGTATAGAGTATAAGATATATGCTTGAGGTAGATCATGATTGATATCTACAATTAGCAATTTTCCTTGTCATCTTTAATTGAGTTTTCATCTTATTTTGATCTATAAGATTAGCATTTTCTTTTATCACTGAAAATTTAGAATTTATCTTTTCTTTATATCTACCACTTACACCTACATGCGCACAATTTTCTCATTTTACATATTTGTTGAGAGTTTTCTGACTCCCCTGGGATTTGCATGCCCCAGACTCGGGGACTGTTCTTTCTTCGCAGGACCGAAAGTACCTTGAGGATCAGACCCAGCGATAATGATCAACTTATGTCCTATCATTCTCTCAACTTTAGTTATTTAGACTTTCCCTATAACCACTTGTGGTTCTCTAGACTATGATGTATTTTCCTCTTTGCTACTACGGATTATTGTCGGCATGTTAGAGAACTCTGCCTTTTTAGAGATTTCTTTATCTACCTATTTTCTTTGTTATCTTATTTACATGCTCCATGAAGTAGTTCTTTTGGGTAATATATCTGTGTACAGGATGATCCAGAGGCATGAATGTGACCGTAAGGTTGTATTGCCAGCCGAGTCACGTCCCAAACTATTACATTTTAAAACCCAGGCGTGACAAGGTTTATAACCCCAGTGATCAGACAATGACTGTTAGTAGAAATGTGTTCTTCTAGAAGATCAAATTGTTGGTCAAGGATCTATAACTCTAGAAGAAGAATTGTCTTCTTCGATAGGAGAGTTATCTGATCCAATAGGAGAGACTCCAAATACCTTTGGAGATTCTATTGATTCAGTAGGAGTGTCAAGTGATAAAGTGAATGGAGATTCATTAACTAAATCTGTTGTTGATGCACCAATTACAATAAAGAGATCAAGTAAGACCATTCATCCACCTGTACGGTACATGCACTTCGATGAAACATATTTGATAGAAAATAAAGAGGATGATGAAGATCCTAAAACTTACAAAGAAGCTATGTCTGACATAGATTCTAGTAAGTGGGTTGATGCTATGAAAGCTGAAATGGACTCCATATATTATAGCAAGGTATGGACCTTAGTTGATCTACCTATTGGGGTAAAACCTATAGGATGTAAATGGATATCTAAAAGAAAATATGGAGTTGATGAATATGTAGAGACATATAAAGCTCGCTTAGTGGCAAAATGTTATACTCAAACAGAGGGTATTGACTACGAGAAAACCTTTTCTCCGGTTGTAATGTTAAAATCCATTAGGATCCTTTTAGCCATTGCTGCACATTATGAGTATGAGATATGACAAATGGATGTTAAAACAGCTTTCTTAAATGGATATCTTGAAGAAGATATTTACATGTAGCAACCAGAAGGTTATGTATGTAAAGGTCAAGAAAGTATGATTTACAAATTGAATCGGTCAATTTATGGACTTAAACAGGCTTCAAGGAGTTGGAATATTCGTTTTGATGAAACGATTAAAGAATATGATTTTATTCCAAATTCTAAAAAAAGCTTGTGTGTATAAAAAATAACAGAATAATTTCATTGTGTTCCTAGTGCTTTATGTTGATAACATACTACTCATTGGAAATGATATAGGTATGATGACATAGGTTTAATTATGGCTTTCAAACAAGTTCTCTATGAAAGATCTTGGTCAAGCATCCTATATTTTGGGTCTCAAACTCTATAGAGATAAGGAACAGAGACGTATAGGATTATCACAGTCTACTTATGTGGATAAGATCATCAGAAGGTTCAACATGCAAGATTCCAAGAAAGAATTACTTACTACTAGACATGGAATCTCACTCTTAAAGGAAATGTGTCCTAAATCTAAAGAGAAGATTAAGAGTTCTAGAAATATACCATATGCTTCGACAGTTGGTAGTTTGATGCATGCTATGTTATGTACTAGACCTAACATAGCATATGTTGTTGGCCTTGTAAGTAGATTTCAGTCCAATCCTGGTGAAGAATATTGGACTGCAGTGAAAGACATTTAAATATTTGCGTAGAACTAAAGACTACTATTTAGTTAGTGATGAAAATGACATGAGCATTGAAGGATATACTTATTCTGATTTTTAATCTGATCCAGATGATAAAAAGTCTGCATCTGGATATATTTATATCATTAATAATGATGCTTTTAGTAGATAAGTGTTAAACAAAATGTCATCCACTGATTTCACAACCGAAGTAGAATATGTAGCAGCAAGTGAAGCCGCAAAAGAAGGAGTATGGATAAATAAGATTGTCCATGAGCTTAGCATAGTTCCTGCTAGTATATTTCCTACTCCACTATCCTGCTATAATAGTGGAGTTGTTGTTCAAACTAAACAACCAAGGACTAATCAGAATTCTAAGCACATTGAAAGAAAATATCATCTCGTTAGAGAGATACACAACAGGAAAGATGTGGTGATTGAAAAGATTGCTACAATGGTTAACATTGCAGATCCTTTCACAAAACTGTTATCACAAAAAGTTTTTGACATACATTTAGAAAAAATGGGAGTTAGGAATGTATCTGATTGGATGTGAGGGCAAGCGGGAGATTCCTAGAGTAGTGTTATATGCCCTTAAACATCCAATATATTTTTATTGAATATTAATTAAGTTTTATTGTTGCACATTTTGTTTAAGTATCCTTTATATAATTGTTATATTATCCTTAGAAATTATTTTGTTAGATCATGCATTGTGATTGTTACTTGCTTAGAGATATGATCTAATTCAGATGCTTTTAAAATTTGTGTTTCACCTATAACTAGTAAATGATAGCTTTGTTATAACAGGTTATTCTGCATGACAACGACATATGAGATGTGATGGTTGATATCAACTATCGGGAATAAAAATTCCCCGAGTGTATGTTATAAGAGCATATTTGATATGTGTAGCACAAGATCTTATTTGGATTCTCTAGGACAAGTCACCTAAGAAATAGAGAATTTGAATTGTTACGTGGTCCCTTAGACTTGATGATATTATTATTTTTGATTTGATAATTTATATACTTTGATATGATGGTTAAGCTTGTTTTACAAGTGCTATACAACTTGAAATATTAGGTTATTAGATTTTATTAGCAAAGTGATGGATATCTAGATAGGATCTAGTATACTCATTTTTATGAGTTAATTTATAATGCATATCCCATGAAGATATTAAATTCCTTTTGATGAGTGATTTTAGAAAATTATTTTTCTAAATTTGTTTTCTTATAAAATAAAATATTGTGATATTTCAAAATGATTTTATTTATGTTCATGGAATTATAATTTTAGGAATGAGCAAATAGGTGATTTGTTTTGCTCAATAAAGTTGCCTAAAATAAATTGATACCGAAAGGAACTAAATGTAAGATAATTTTATTCAAGAATATTTAATCCTATATTATGAAAGAGTTTTTTATGAATAGTTGGTTGGATAGAAAATTAATTGTTAAATTAAAATTATTAATTTTATTAATAATTGGTTCTCGATATGGGACCCATTGGTCTCACTAATGTCATTAGAAGAGGTTTACATGTAATATAATTATATTTCTATCCTAATTGTTATGGAAAGATATTCTATCTTTAAATGTTATGGATAGAGTTTTAAATTATTAAGAATTGTTTTGAAATTAAAATCTATAAGGCAAGTCCAATCTTATATATAGGAGTCATATATAGCCTTATGTAGAAGAGAAAAAGAAAGAAAAGAAAAATGAAATAGATTTTAAGAACATACCTCTCAGTATTGGTCCTCTTCGGTGATGGGTGGATTTCAGTTGGAGGCTTTTTCTCTTGAAGAGACAATTTCATATTGATCTTGGGACAACTCATCGAAGAAATTCGGAAGCGTTTTAGGTATTCTTTTAGATTTTAATTAATTTTGATTAATCTACATAACGTGCAATTTCTATTGCATTGTATGTTATGTTTTTAACAGATGGTATCAGAGCGAGTTTAGAATCCAATCTATAATAATTTAAACAGATTAAATTATATTGTTTTGATCTATTTTTTGAATTATTTAATTGGATTAAATTAAAATTTTGATTAATATAATTTGTGTTACTGTTCATCAGCCTAAATAACTGTTTCACGACCGGGGGGTTACTGTTCATCTACCGAAATTATTGTTCATGGCTGAGTGTTGCTGTTCATCGGCCAAAATTAGTATTCACTATCATTGATTACTATTCATGGGTTAAAATTCTTATGATTAGATAAAAAAAATTGAGTTTTTGTATTGTTTTTTCAATTGTTGAAGTATTTGGGTTCTTCATTAGATTTGATCTAAATAGAGTTTATAATTTTTTATAATTACTTTCTTTATCAATAGAGTTGTGGCATGTAGGATGGGCGACGGAGGAGGAGGCGACCGGAGTTTAGATTTGATCTCACAACAACAACAACGAAAAAAAAATTAATTGGGGTGATCGCTAGCACGTTGGACACGCTAGAGGT